TTTCTTCGAATTTACAGATTTGCGAAACGAAGGCTCATTCCCGCTTTCAATGAGTGCTGTCACAGATGCTCTTTACGGTCACCTGTCTCCCTCGTTTAAATTTTATTTTTAAAACCATATAATTTTGTGGGTTTTTATGTTAATGAACTACTTATCTTATTATTATGACTATATTTTCGCTTCTGCTTTCGTCGGCTCTGATCAGGATGAGTTAATGTATTCAAGACAGAACTTTTGGCAGCTATCGACGACCGTCACGCTGTAGTACTTATGGCTGCGACTTGATTACTTAAATCAGCTTTAGTTTTGGTAGCTGTGACTTCCCGCGAAAGTTTGACCTTCATTGCTCAATTTAAAATTTTAATTTTACTTTAACATTTGTTTCCGAATTTTTTGCAAGCTGAGGAAATTAATTCTTTGTTATTACACAAATTGCGTAACCATCAGATTAAGATTAAATAAAAAGATTTATTTTAAACCGTCCTCTGAGTTGTAGCTATTTAATTAGAAGGTCTAAGGCAAGATTGTAAGTCTGTAAATTACTGTAAATTGAAATACTTCTAAAACATAAATATGTCCCAGTGATCATTTTGAGCATTGCAATGTTATTTTGTTTAGTAAAATGTATTTATACGCCATATATTCTGTAATTGTTCCAGAAACTTCGATTTTTTGATTGATTTAAACCCATGGTGCTAAATTCTGTTCCTCGAGGGCAAATTTAAGTCACATCTCGGGACCCTAGCCGGGACTCGAACCTGGACCTCTCGAATGCATGTCAAGTGTGCTAACTGTTACACCACGAAGGCATGCAGAAAGGAGGGAGAAAATAACTTACAAAATAAAGTAACGTTTCCTGAATTTTGTGCCCTCAGATTTTTGTCGCCGTCATTCTTAACAATTTTTCTTTCCACTTCTTTAGTGAACACTTGATTTATTTATAGATTTAAAGGAAATACTATTTTAAACCCCAAACAAGATGCGTATAAAAAATGCTCTTCCATCCAGGACAATAAAGGAATCAGGAAAACTCTCATGAGTTTTCAGATTGTAGTTTTATTTTTATTTTCGTTTTTATTTATTATTTTTATTTATTATTTCGTTTTTATTTATTTTTATTTTCGTTCACTTTTTAATAACAAACTGTTTCGTAGAGAATAATGTATGTAAGCAAGGCATATGTAATGTTTGATATTTACTTTGTTTATTTTTACTGCAGAAAAACAGTGTTACGTGACGGTACAAGATGAGTTAAGGCCCACCCAATAAACAGGAACTCCTAGTCTCGGACTTTACGGACCTAGGCGGTAATGAGGTCCTGTATCTAGGCACATAAAAAGGAAAGAAACAGTACACCTAAGAAGTAATAAATAAATAAAAAGTTAAAAAAGAAGAAGAAATAATGTGGAAATGCTGCAGAGTAACATAATCAATCTGCTTTTTCTGAACCGACGGCACAAAATTTATCACCGTCCACTTTTCCTCTTTTTTTTTTTTTCTTTTTTTTTCTTTTTTCGCCTCTTTCCTTTGAATCTTCCGCATCTTGACACGGACATGAATGTCCTCCGTGTCAGGGATTAGTCGATGCTTGGCGCAGATAACGAGAAGATCAGTCTCATATTGCCTGGATGGCGATACAATCGCGGCAGATGGTGAATTTCTTGGTAGTGAGGGATTTTGAACGTTTATCAAAAACCTTCCTCTGAGTACACTAGAACCGGGATTAACCGAGGTAATAAGAATCGATGCCACTTCGGATTACCGAAAACTCGGATCAAAACAAACGATTTCCTTCTGAAGTATGATAGCATGTAGAAGTATCTTTTATTAACTGTAATACTGCTGCAAGTGTCTATTAAATTTGATACATTTTAAGCAAATATAGTTTAAATTACATCAGTGAAACGTAAGTGTCGAAAAATAACGACTTCATTTAATAGAAGTGTGTAAAATGCTTTTTAATCGCTCAGTTTGTTATGCGGTTATAATTAAAAAAAGAAAAATGAAACATCTTAAACAGGTATATTAGAATTTTTGGAACAAGAAACATGAGCAAGCAACAATGCCGGGATTCAGACCGCGGATCTTGCACTTAGTTGAGGAGATAACCTCACTGGTGATTATGATACATTCACTCAATGCACTTGTAATTATGATAACTTGTTAAAACTGCCATTTTTCGAGGCATATTCTCGTTAATGGGCAGTGTTATTGTGAGCTTTCACTGTTTCCAATGCCGCACGAAAGGTAGATTAAGTAATGTTTTGAGCAGGGACAGAATATGATGACTGTGTATATTATAAATGCATAGCAGCTTTTCGTTAAGGGAAAGTCCGGAATTTTTGGAAACACTTTACTGGAAATTTTCGAATGTCAAAAGAAAATCTGCCAACGGTTTCGATTAAAATAAATGCAAATGTATTAAAATTTCATTAGTTTACAGGGTATAGAATTCATTCCGGCCTTCGTCGAATTTCACCAGAATTTTATGCCATGATAAAAGCAAGAAAAAAAAATTCGCTCACATTTATTTCTTATTGGTACATTTTTTATCACACAGCTGTGAGGTGTTATTAAATATATACAATTATTTGAAGTTGCGTATTAGCGTATACGTTTTGCAAAACTTCTGAAAGTACTGATGCCAAAGTCAGTGAACCTGTCTTGTACTTCGAAACTATGGTAATGTGACCCACGCTCAACATTGCATAAACTGGACAGCATTTCTGGCAACAAAGGATAGCTTCGGCAACTCATAAACTGGTTTCGAAACAATGGTAATGCGACCTACGCTCAACATTGCATAAACTGGACAGCTTTTCTGGCGACAAAGGATAGCTTCGGCAACTCATAAACTGGTTTCGAAACAATGGTAATGCGACCTATGCTTAACATTGCATAAACTGGACTAGCTTCGGCAACTTATAAATTGGTTTCGAAACACTGGTAATATGACCCACGCTCAGCATTGCATAAACTGGACAGCATTTCTGCTGACAAAGGAGCTCGGCAACTCATAAACTGGTTTCGATTCTACGACAGTGCCGATTTTAGGGTACTGTGAAGGCACACTAAGAAACAATAATTTAATTAAATTCTTATCCTTTTCATTTTATGCAATGTTGCTAATTATCTACTTTTTCTCTACGCTATGGTGTTGATTATTTGCGGCTGTCGATTCTACGCACTGCCTCAGTTGTGTCGATATCGATCCTCCACAAAATTGACTCTATGACTATGTCGATCCTACGGCGTATTGACGATAAGTCACTCTTTGTCGAGGGCTGTGCATTAACAGGGAGTGTGAGTGTAAACTACGCGTCATTCAATATGCAACATTTGAATAAGAAAAAGGGAAAGGCAAGATGATATGCTGGAGAAATAGTGAACATTATTAATATGAATAAGAAGACTATTATAATTGAGAACTAGATCTGCCTTTGTTTTCACTTTTATTTGGAATGGGCTATTTATGTATTTGAGGTCTGTGACGAGTTTTATTTAATTTTTAGGTTCGTTTGCGTGAGTTTAGCTATAATTGATTGTCTTTGCAACCTTTTGCTTTTTTTTTTCTTTTTGTGAGTGTGTGTCACATGTTACTCGAGGCCCTGACCTTGTTTCTCTGGGCTAGTTTAATTTGATCTTGTATGATTTGGTCTCTTTTGGGGGGGCGCAGCCGGGCTGTTGGCTCCCTCGTTTTTGATTGGATTGGCCGGTCCTCCTTTTAGTCATATGGCCGCCAGCTTATGCCGGCTAGGTGGACTGGGGGCTAATACTAATACTAATATATATTCAGAGGAATGCCGGCATAATTTTGAAATAACAGAAAAACGCTTTGAGTCGCTGTAACTCAAATTTAAGGTATAAGGTATTTCTCCCGCCTTCCTAGCGTGCCTTCGGGGTGTAGCGGTTCTGCACGCTGGGTCGGTATTCCAGAGGTTCGTGGTTCGATTCCGGCGAAGGCGCCAAATGTAGGGTCCAGGTGGGTTAACTTCTGTCTTTCCGGTACCGGATACAATTGGAAATGCGTCTCGAAGATCTAGAAGTGGCAGACCCAATGGTGACCTCCCCGTTAGATGGATTTGGCTTCCTAATACAGACGATGAGGGTGGCAATTAAACCAGCAGTGGTATTTGATGGCAAGAACTCCTTAATCTCATTTTTAGAAGCCCTCGAGACGCACTTCCAATTGTATCCGGTACTGGAAAGACAGAAGTTAACCCACCTGAACCCTATAAAATAGAATCGAAAAGCACTAAAAAGCCGTGACAGATCAACACTAACAAGAAGGCATCGTGAAAGAAAGTGTTTAAAAACCAGAAAAGAGTATTTTTGTCGCATCAAACTGTAATTAACAAACACAGAACAAAACTTCGCGTTGTCTTCGACGCATCATCACATGCTGAAGACAAAATGTCATTGACTGATTATTTAAAATCAGGCGTTTCTTTCCATTTGAAGCCTACACACTACTTTTAAAATGATGTTTCACTATTTTTAAAATGATGTAAATATGGACTTGAGGCTTTAAGGAAACCTAGTTGTGGCTCTCGAACGTTTTTGAATTATGACATGCAGCCCTTATTGGCATGAACGTTGGCCACTCCTAGTATAGTGTTTAAGAATGCTAGCTGCTATGTCATTAGACGCGGGTTCCAATCCCGAAAAAGGCATAGATGTGTTGTAAAAGTATAGCACCTGCGCGGTTTCAAGACGTTTAAATACTAGCGAACCGAAAGTCCTCTCCAGTGGTTTAGTGCATTCTTTAAGTGGTTAACATGTCCAGGTATAAATATAAATATCAGTGTTTCATATCCCAGCAAAGGCAAAGCTCGTGTTTTCACGTTTCATGTATCGGAGTGTCTTATAGTCTCCACAACCTCTGTTATTAATTGTAAATTATTTTACACAGCTTTAATAAAATATATTTGTATGTATCTTCTTTATTTTAGCCCGTTTTTGTATTTTAATAATTTTTGTACTTCAATTTTGTTTTCCAGACGGATTCCTGTTCATTCTGTCGTGTTCTCTCTAAATCAAGTGCAATGTCACCACCTCAATTACCAACTTCACAACGCTTATATTTGCCACATGCAGACCTTAATGGCCACTGGATGAGCTTACGCTGCGAAGTCCACCCTTATGGTCTCTTTCTGATTCGAATTTTTATTTTCAACAGCAAGGACAGCAGCTGGCAGTTCAGACACCTGTACTATAGGGATGCAAAGTGCCTGAATCCCATGTTCATTCTCAGTGCCAAAGGTTCATACAAAGTGGGAAAACCTTCAGACACAATACCAGATGCAGTTGAGTATGAATTTCATGTCTCAGAATCGTTTTTAACCCCGGAAGATAAGCAGTTCGTGAACAACCTGATTGGACTCCATTCATGTGGGTCAAGTTCTAATTGGAAGGTCAACCAGATGGTTAATATAACAGCTTTCGGCGGCTGCAAGGAGCTGGGTATAACTGTTCCATCGACAGAAAAAGATCTGGTGAGATTCGAGGGGCGAGAACCTGATTTGACCTTCTTGTACCTTGGTGAGGCGTCTGAGGACCATCAGCGACCAACAAGTTTCCAGCCAGCTCTGATGCGTTGCACTTCTCTGAACGTAGCATATGACGATGACTTTTTATTGAATTATAACCACCTTCGCCCATTACCGCTGGTGTCAGGATCTTCAGATTTGCAAGGAATTTTTTATCATATCATAGGACTTATTATTAGTTATGATTTACTACTGAGGTTCAGAGATAGTTTTGTCTTTTAAATGCATCCTGCTATAGGCTCAATTTTATTGTAATTTATAAATACTTTTTTTATTCGTGCCATGGTAAAATGGAAATCGTCAAAATTGTAAATATGTTAGTGTTTAAGGTCTGACTATTACACCAATTAGCTTGTACAAGGGAAGCCATGGTGGTCTGACGATTTCGAGATTCAGCAGACACCATGAAATGTAACTTAAGTATTTATTTAATCTTACGAAACAACAGAAATCTTCTCTTGTGCTTCATATTTTGCACACCATATTTCTAAATATTTCTCACGAAAGCTGGTTTTCTTTAGTAGTATATGTTGGAATGCAGAATATTTACTGACAATGCAGATGTTCAGAAAGGTGAGGGAATATCGCATACTGCTAGAGAAGCCAGACTGATCCCCAGCAAATTTTTCCCTATCCTGTGACTTCTAAAGGAGGAGATGTTTCATAGACGTCACGTTCTCCAGACTTTCTTGTATACAGTTACTTTCTATTCGGTTAAGTAAAGTCTTAAGAGCACGTTAATAAACCATGGCACATAAGCGAATTCAGGGAATTTCAGCTACGCCAATTAGCATGGTCCAAAGTTTGTCACAAATCGTGGAGAACATTTGAAAAACATGTTTTCAAAACATAAAAGACTGAAAACAGCAATGGCATTTATAATAAATGGCACTGTGTACCTTGTTGCTAACCTTTTTTTAAGAATGCAGAACTGTTTTAAACTACAAATGCATTTAATGATTGGGAACACACTAGATGGTAAACTACTGAATATGAGTAATTTATTGCTTTTTATTTATGTTTGGAAACCTACCATACTGCTCACTGATGTAAGTTAAATTGCAAATATCGTCTTCAAAAAATGTGACGAGAGAATTCTTCGAAGGAACACATTGGACTGAGTTCAACACTTCAGAGTAGTTAGATCGTAAGACTTTCGATATGTCTGCTTTCTTTAACTGAACATTCCTACATAAAATTCAATCGTAATCATGCTGTTCTCGCACCAGTTATTCGGACTACTTCCAAATGACATGCTCACCGCCTCATCAGACTACACTGGAATATAATATATACGTGCTGAATTACTGTACTTTTACTGTAAATAATATTTAGTCAGAGACAGAAGAGAATCATGGAATCTGGAGTTTGGAAATAGAAACAATTCATCATTAGATTATTATTTTAAGGAAACAGCTGTATGCATTTCGTGAGAATCTAACATAGATCTCTCTTATTCGATTTCCTAAAAGTCTTGTGACAAGAAAAGGGCTAAGAAATACAGAACTTCCAAGCCAGAGCTGCTTTGGATTAAAATGAGAAATGGTGTTTAGGCAGAAAGCCCTCGGGCTTTAAATACACGATTCAATACATTTTCCTCCTGAAGGAGAAAATCTTTTCTGTATCCCTTTTGAAGAAAAATATCAATTAAACAGTTGCAATAAAAATAACGATGAAGTAAGCATCGAAGATAGGGTACTAAGATATATAACATATAACACTAGAAACATCTTTTGCTTATATTCATAGCAATTTTCAGTTGCGGTGAGTCAACTCCCGATTGTGGATTAATCACGACAAGTAAAAAAAAAAAAAAACTGTTGTTGAATGATAAAATTATTTTTACAGATCATCAGCGCAAAATTAAAGAGTCTACGGAAAATAAAAGCTCCTTAATCCCTTTTTATAACTAAAGTCTCTTCATTTCTGAATTTACTTCTCCATTATTCAAAGAATGTTCTTTTTGTTTTAAATACTGACTCAATTTACGCAACCAAATGATTTTATTCTCCTAAACTGCTTGGAATACAAGTACATTTTTCATAGTACATTCCTGTTAATTATAATATGGATTATTTCTCTTTCCTGCTTTTCTTTCTTTTAACTGCTCTTAGATTAACAGGTCATTTATGGTATTAATAGTCATCCCTGGTATTATTTCGGTAAATCGGGAGTTTACTATCTTATAAACTTCAGTAAATTGTATCAATATTAAATATATCATTAAAAATAAATTATTAAGAACTGCGTTTAATGTTTTTAAATCTCTGAGTTTATTAAACATTGACAACTATAATTTGATTGTTAAATTGAAGACGTTATACTATGCCGCATGGCAATATTCTGACAACAAACTACACACCAAATCCAAGGAGGATAAAACTGATTCTTTTCTGAACTCCAAGACCATTGCAATTAGTTATAGGATCTTATGTCTCTTTAAATGACAATATTTATAAGATCACATGGATAGCATGTGCAGGGTAGCAAAACATAACATAACAGCCCCCTCAAAATGGGAAGATTCCGTTATGGTCTAACATCAGTCAATAATAATAAATCCGAAATAACCACTATAGATCAATTTGTTTATTAAAACAAAGAAGTGGAAACATTAAAAGATTAGACTGTTAAATACTTCGGAAAACATGAAATTTGTAATTAAAATCATTTACTAATCAAAACAGACTTTTTTAAATGCTTTATTTATCCAAATTCCAGCATGCTGGCGACTAGGTAATTAGGCTGCATGCTGTCCAATACTTTCCCACAAGACAATTAAAATGAAGTAATGCGGAGCATTCATCAGTGTGAACAGCGGTCATATATTATCCAGTTGAACACGAAATACAGAGAAAGGTCGACAATATTAAAACGAAATAAATAAGCACAGAAACAATCGTGTCCAGTCAAGTGTAAAAGAGGCCACCGCAGTTGCACAAGGAGCATTTGAAACAAAATGCGAATTGGTGCTGAGGATACTCCATTATTTAGTATAGGAAGAGTAAGCAGACAGTGTATGAAGATTCTGTTAATCTCTAGTTTTGAAGAATGAAAGGGCAAATTTCTATTTGGCTTCTGAATTAAAATGCAACTTATTTTTGGGAAAAGGTCCACTTTCTCTCTTCTTTCAACACCACAGTGAGAAGGTACCCAATAGAAAGACACTTTAAGTTGAATTCTCCCAAGTAGAAATTGACACCGTTGGACGCGAGGGCTTTTATTCTCCTGATTAGATAGTAAAGCCCGATAGGCAGATGTTGAGTCAGAGAGAATCACAGCCCTCCCAGAGGAATTCTGGCGAATAGAAAGTTGCTGAAGAGTTACTTAAATTGATTCCAGCTCGCCATCAAAATGGGTCATGGAATTTCCAATCGGTAGATAAAAACGGAAAAGTTCATAAGAAAATACCAGCCGCAGCTCCCTGAGTAAATTCCAGAAGGGAGCGATCTAGCCTGATGTGAAGCCGTTTATAAGTAGGACAGCTTGTCAGGACTGCTGTTCCTTCTAATTGTCTTTGGAAACATAACTGGAATTCTGAGTAGGAACAGGGGCGAAGAGTTAAATTTACCCTTTATTTCTCACAGCGTACAACCGTTCCCGCACTTCGGGACACAGAGACCAGCACTTATGGTCTAAAACGTAGAAAATAAGAAATAAGCTAACTTAACTAAATAAGAACTAAACCTAGATGCTTTACAAAGAGTAGTAACGCGAAGCTTGGCCTTTTACCACTACGTATGTAGTGAGCAGAATGCAGAAAACTACAATACGTCTTCAAATATCAGCGAGAACTAAGTTCTGGCCTTATAGGCAGACATGAACTGACTGCAAAGCACGCGTGTGGTAAGGCAGCGAGAAGACTCTTTCTCCACTTGGCTAAAAACCACATCCTAAATACCTATACAGTTTGCAACCTCATTAGAATAAACAATACTTTCGCGCTTATTCTGGCCGGAAAGGGAAAATTAGAGAGGATAGCAAAGTTTTAAAATAAAATAAACGTTAGTAAAACTTAAAATCCTCACAAGCTATCGTGGATTGTTTCCGGAGCAATCGCACGGAGTGCTTCAGGGAAGCAGTCTGACTTTTTTATTTTCTGATTTAGGTCCAATCTTACATCAAGGTCCATGAAGTCCAAGGGGTTAGCAAGAGAGATTAGCTCAGTAGATATATTGTTAATTAAATGAAAACAGTCAATACCATTGGATTGCCACACTGGATGAGACACCTTTGCATTTTCAGGTTACGTTCTTGTAGTCTTAACAAAAAGAGTTGTTAGGAAGCCTAATTAATCTGTTATAAAAATAGTTGCATCTTTTTTAATCGCATTAATCAAAGTTTTTATTATTATTATTATTATTATTATTATTATTATTATTATTATTATTATTGTGAATACTTGCATCGTCAGCTCAGAGGTGGTCTTTAGAAGTGATTCGTAAACCCTGGACTTGAAAAGTCTCGAGGGTGTTAATAACCTTCATTACAATAGTCAAAAACCAACATTTCTTTACAATAGTTCAAGACCGGCTGAATATGGATTTTATAAGTTGTATCTATGCTTTTCTGTTACAGCCCCATTTAACTCTGACTAGTGGTTCACGAATAGAGAGTCCTTTTTTTCTGCTTTTGAGATAACATGCTCAGCGTATCCCCTTAAGTCAGCTTGTTGTTGAAGATGTAACTTAAGTAAAGTAAAAAATCCTTAAGTTGTATATGTCTACTCTAAAAGACGAGTTTGGAAATAAAGGACTGTCTGTTAAGCGTGAAAATTGGCTGGTAGTTTTATTTATGTTTACTGACATATTATTATCGTTTCACCAATGTTCAAGTCTCTCCAGGGTTAAATTCAAAACAGTGTTAAGCTTGGTTTGATCATTGTCACAGATCTACACCATAGGACTAGATTGTCTGCAAAAAGAGCCTGTATTAGAAGTCAGCAGGTTAAGGTTGTCATTTATAAAAATATTAAGGATGAGGCTAATTAAAGTTCCTCAAAATGTCAAAAATAAGTGGTATTTTCTTAATTTTAATTAAAAAATTACTCTCATTTTGTACTTTGATTCCTTTTCTTCCAATTTACATCCAAACCGAAATCAGAGACATTAAAAGCTAGCAGAAATTTTCATGTGTAATAAATAAAAGGCAGCCTTCTGTACAGAATTTTCCGGCCGTAACGCTGAGAGGGTTAATGAGGTGGACCAGTTTTTTTTTTTTTTTTCCTTAAATTTCGAAGTGGGATCTCCAAACTTTTATAAATGTGGATGGTTTTAAAGGAGTTATATTTCCAAATGAGACAAGTTTTTTGGATAGTTTTAGAGGAACTGAAGTTATAGATTTACAAAAAAGAATTTTTTATAGAAATCTTACATATACATTCCATTCAAAAGTATATATCATCGGTTTTCAAACTTTTTGCTCCATGCACCCCTTTCACCATTCCTAGGCGATCAGTTTACAGACTCGAAAAGTACACATACATTTATTAGTCCGAACGGGCTTTGTCCCTGAAGGACTATTGTTTTCGTTTTGCGATTTTGAGTTGAATCACTATAAATGTCCGTTTCACTTTTCAAACTGTTGTCACCAAATGTTAGAGCCCTGCATTATATTTGAAGAAATTAAATAATGAAAAATCTGCATAAATGTATGTATATTTTTCGCATTATTATAAAACAACGGTACATATAGCCATCGAAATTTGAGTGACGTAATCCTTCTACGAACATGGGCACGTGGAAGAGCAAATTTGAAGCTTGAAATTTGTTTTACTATCGATTTCATATTTTGTAAAACCTTAACGAATGTTTGATTAACAAACTCAACGATTTCAAAGCAGCAATGGCAGCACTCTACGGGGGGAAAAAACCTTTTTATCTCCAGCGCTAACTAAAGTCTTCAAATCGTCGTCATCAACAGCTGAAGAGCGTCCACGATGCTCTTGATCTTCCAGGTGAAATTCTCCACGACGAAACTTTTGGTACCACCGTTGAAATGTAGATTCATTAACACTTTTCTCGCCCCATACTTCGTTGACATTTCGAGCCGTTTGTGCTGCGCTGTGGCCCAGCTTGTATTTATAAAAGTAAATTTGCAGAAAATCCCGTTTTGACTTCTAAACAAAAACACCTAGTAAGTATTTTTTTAAATAATTTTAGAACAAAATGATTATTATAAAAATATAGAGAGAAAATAGAGCTTCAAAATGATATATAAACCAGTGTAATTCAAAATATTTTTGTTGTTAAAAACGTACAGGAGAAATAAACAATTGCAAAAACCTGCATTATTTTCCGGACAACCCGATACTTCTCGGAAATGCATACGGCTTATTTGAAAAACTAAAATGAAGTGGAATATTAATTTAATAAACATTTATCTCTTTCACTGTATTGCGTTAATTTTATTTGCTAGTCACTTCTTTTTCTCACACATGCAAAGGCACTCGATAAATTAATGTTTTCCTGATATATTAATAAAATAGTATAAATAGAATTAATAAAATAGAAAAACTATACGGTTTTCTAACTCATATCCATAAAAGCGTACTACAGTTCAATGACTTAATGTAGTAGTAACTGCAAACATCTCTAATATATAGCCACGTAAATATATAAAATCCACATAAATACATTTCTGTTTACATTAATTAGCATCAAACATATTGCATCGAAGGAATAATCTTCATAATTGCAATTGAACATTGTATTGAGGGAATCTTAAAAATTCCCTCCTCCAAGAAACAGTAAATATACTATTTTCGTCACCAATAAAAGTAATTGTATAACATAAAAATATTTACTACATAATTCTTAATTTAAATTAGTTTTTAATTTAAGTTTTTTTTTTTTTTTTTTTTTTTTTTTTTTAAATTACACACTTTGTTTTACGTCTTACTTTCAAAATGAGCCCCAGAAATAAGAATGGAGAATCCGAATAAGACAGTCTAAATTGTCCTTAAATACGGTTGATATTGGATCAGATACCGAAGTATTCGAATTGTTTATTAGGTAAGTAACAGGTTTGACGGTCATTGATGTCTTTCTTCTAACTTTATTTTAAGAGTACGTATAAATTTCTGGTTCCATTCTGTAATGAATGGCCGAATTAAGACAACTGAATGCTAGGAGTTCGAGCTGGGCTAGATCTCAGTCTGCTTGGTAGGTTTTTACGGTGTTCTTTATATATAACATGAACACGAGCTAATTTTTCTTAGAAAGTGCTTACGACATGTATAAAGT